GAGAGATTTATGGATATTGGCCCTCATGACATTCTCTAGGTTCTCAGGAAGCAGGGGAAGGAGGCTCCATTTCCTTCCCACGTCCTTTTCTATGGTCCCTTATTTTCTATCTTGCCTCTGCTCTGTGGGATAGGCCTGAGGATCAATTTTAAAATTTAAGGAATCCATCTACAGGTCCTAAGTGGTCTTCAGTAGTCTTCAATGAACCCTTCAGTTACCCAGTTTTTGCCCCCTTTAATTGGAAATGTGGCTCAAGATCAACTGAGCAGCAAAGAGACTTTCTCCTTGTGGTGATGTATTGTGTCCCCCAGTACACTCTATCTCCCAATAAAATAAAACTTGCCTGGAGATCAGCCACTATATAGAAGTCAGGCAATGGTAGCACATGCCTTTAATCCTATCAGGGATCTGTCTGGATCTCTGTGAGTTCAGGGCCACATTGGGAACAGAGCCAGCCATGGTGGCACATGCCTTAAATTCCAACACTAGTTAACCATGGAGGTCTGTAGGTCTGGACAGACAGACAGGAAGTGAAAGAGCTGGGCAGGAAGAGGAAGTGATGTAGCTGGACAGAGAGAGCAAATCAGATGGCAGAATAGCAAGGCATATAGGTGTGGGTAGACAGGAAGTAGCTCACCTTTTGGAAGTTGCAGAGTAGGTGAGATAAGGTTAGCTGTGGCTTTTCCCATTTCCCTGATCTCTCACATTTTCACCCCTATATCTGGCTCCATGTTTTTTATTTAATAAGACCGTTTAAAAATGTGTCTACATCTCTCAAATCAACTTTTCAACCCTTGGGACGATAGGCTAGTAAAGGGAAGAATATCTATCTTTCCTGGAAATTTTCAGAACCTGTTCTTTCTCTCCTTATAGTTCCTTCCTTGTTGTCATGGCAATTGTTGACTAATGTGACTTTGGAGGTATGTTGTCTGCATGCAGATGGGGTTATAATGAAGTTAGAGGTTGTATGATATCACCCTGGCAGCCATCTTAGACTGAAACTAGTTTCAGCCAGCCTACTTGAAGAGGGACTTCAGGTTCACAGTGTATTCTGTTCTCAAGGATATACAAAGTCAGGGCTGGTTAGTGTTACTGTCAACTGACAAGACTCTGGAGTCTTGGGGGACGGAACGCTGAGCATGTCCCTGGAGGCATTAAGTTAACTGAGGTGGGAAGATCTGCCCTCTGTGGGTGGTACCATTTCTTGGTTGGATCACTGCTCTGTTCCTGACTGTGACCAGCAGCTTCAGGCTCCCTCCACTCAGACTTCCCCATTGTGATGGAACGTACCTCAAACTGTGAACCAAAATAACTCCTTATTCCCTTAAACTCTTTTGTTGGAATATTTTATCACAGCAACAGAAAAGTAAGTAAGCAGCTGGGGGGAAATCCAGGGTTAACACCTTCTCTCAGCAAAGCTTTGATCTGGACAGTGTAGACACCACAGAGGACAGAAACAAGGGTGCTTTACAGGAAAAGACCTGGGAGACTGAGGTAACAGTCTGTTAATCTTACCAGGCAAGAATAAGACCACTACCACAGTTTTGAGCCAAATTTAAAACAAGCTTTATTAAATACTGGCCATGACAATAAATACTGGCCATGTCCATACCCAGGATTCCCAGAGAATGGCACTAAATTACATTAGTCAGAGGCTTATAAAGGCAAATCTCTAAGGCTACATACTTCCTACCTTTGTCCAATCAGTGGCAAGCATACATCCTGACATACTTTCTGCCTATGTGTGCTCAAGCACATCCTGTGCAGTTGGGGCAACCAAGCTTCTTTACAGAAGCAAAAACAGGTGGCTTGTTACCTTACATGAACAGCCCCCAGCATTCCAGGAAGTTATTGTCCTTGGGCAAGTGGGGTTTACAGGTTAGAGGCATTTCTGTTTTATAGATCTGTTAAGCACAGTAGTTTAAACCTAACACATAACTTTAGCCATCACAAGGCCTTGGGCACACACACATCCTAACCTCCTTCAGCCTCCTATGATACCAAGTGTGACAAGAACCTGGAGAAGATCCTGTTGGCGCTGGCTATGCTCAGTTATGTCTGATCCCAGTTTCTTCCACTGCGGCCTTCTGACCTGTTTGATCACCTGGACAGGCTATGGTGGCTTGAGACCCAATGACTTCCACAGACCCCATGGTGCCCTTGTAATGAGTATTACAGAAACTCTGAATTGCTAAAGGTAAAATCTTTAGGGAAGCAGCTCAGTTGACAGAGAGGTTCCCTAGCATTCATGAAGTTCTAGGAGCCATGCCCAATAGTGAATAAACTTGGTGTGGTATAGTATACCTGTAATCCCAACACTGTGAGGGTAGAGAGAAGCATTTGCAATAGAAGTTCAAGATCCTCCTTGGTTACATGAGTTGAGGCACAGCCTTAGACTATGAGATTCTATGTCAGAAAAGGCAACCAAGCAAGCAGCCTATGAGCAAGACAGAGGTTCTAGAACCAAGCACCATTCTGAACCAATGTTGGTTCAGCATGTCTGGCCCTACCATATATCCAGGTTATGCTTGTGGCTAGAGAAAAGGCAATGCCATACAGAGAATACCTTAGAGTCCACTTTTGCCTTATAGAGCTTGGTGTGCTCAGTTAGTAGTCTGCAATCAGTGGAAGCTCAGCTGGGGAATGACTGAGATTCGCTTGTAAACAGGAGCATACTCAGGTTAGGTTACACCTTGTTCACACATCAAGCTAGGGTGCAAGCTAGGCTGCTTTAGGCCAAACTTATTTATTCTTGGCATAAAGGTGGGTATAGGCCATGCCTAGTTTAACAAGAGTGTATTGGTTGTGGCTCTAAGAATTCTGTCCCGAGTACCTGTGCAGGCCCAACAGAACTGTCTCTGTACCTGTGAGACCACTGTCCTATCAAGATCCTCTAGTGAGAGGGGTATAGTCGCTGGTGCCGGTCATAGAGCTAGCAGGGATATGACTGTAGGTCATCATTTAACCATGAGAATCCTTGTCAGCAGGCCAAACAGCCCAGAACGGCTGCCAGCAGCCCAAGGAGTTCACTCATCCCCAAACAGCCCTGAGGAATGTACAGCAGAATCCTTGACTTCACTGGTGAGAAGAAACTTAAGAAGAGCCAGTAGGAAGCAAAGCTAGAATTTATTAGATTTTTAATTTTATTTGATATGGGTCAGTGTGAGTGGCAGTGATGAGTGGTGGTCAGATGACAACCCTCAGAAGCTGTTCTTCGCTTTTCAACATGTGGGTTCCAGATCAAAGTCAGGTTTCCTCTACCTCCTGAGTGCTACCACCACCCAGCAAAAGTCCATTCTGAGTTGGATGCGGTGGTACATTCTTGTTATCCCAGCTCTTAAGAGGTGGAAGCATGTGGCTGAGGAAGGAGTTTAAGATGGTCTTTGGCAACATAAAAAAGTTCAGGCCAGCCTGAGAGCTATATGAGACCTTGTTTCAAAAACAAACAAACAAACAAACAAACAAACAAAAAACCCCCAAACCAAAACCAACAAACCAACCTTGCCCCTAGATCCAGTTTAGGCATTCACAGCTCTAGGGTGCGGCTTACATATTTTTGACAGTTTGCTGAAGACCATCAATAGAGGCAAATTTAAACCAAGGATTGGGAAGACGGGAGAAGGTAAGGCTTGGAGGATTTGGTTGGTCAGCATTGAGGAAAGTGTCTGCTAGTGGCACCTCAGGTGGGTAGAAACCAGGAATGATGCCACCCTACAGAGCACAGGGCAATCATCCTTAAAATCCAGCCACCCAGTCAGGCATTGGGGAGGCTTACACAGGAGTATCTTAAGTTAAAGGCCTGCCTGGGCTTACCTAACACATCTAGGTCAGCTAGACAGTGAGACCCTGCTTCAAGCAGAACAACCCAGAACTCTAGTCCTCCCAACTACCAGGTCCCAAATATCAATACTGCTAGGCAGATGTGATGTCAATTCTTGGTCAACTTGACATCTGGAACTAACAAAAACCCCCAAAAACGGCTGGGCACACCCATGAGGGATTCTTGCTTAATTAAATCATTTGATCGGAACCTTTGAGGTGAGAAGATTCAACTTGAATCTGGATCTTTTGAGGCAGGAAGAGAAACCTTTAATCTGGGGCACACCTGCTGGCAGCCTATTTAAAGGAGGAAGGAAGCTTGCCGTCTTTGCCTGCTTGTTCTTGCTCTCACTAGCAAGCCCACTGCCTCACTGACATTAGATCCTACTTCTTTCGGATTCCAGAGTATACTGAAGACCAGCTGAGGCACTTAGCCTTGTGGACTAAACAACTACTGGACTGTTGGACTAGCTGGACCACAGCCTGAAAACTATTCTAATAAACCCCACATACATATGTTCTGTTCTTCTAGAGAACCCTAATACAGCAGAGAAACCCAGGCGTTTCACCAACGAAACGGAAGTGTTCCATACTACCACTCCAGCCTCCTTCCCATCACACTCTTCCTTGTTCCTGTCAGCCTCCACTACCAAATATTAAACACAACCAAAGCTAATCATCTCTCAATGCTCACGAGGCTGGCTGTGTCTCTACTGAAATTAGCCCTCTTGTCGGTCAGTTGACAATGTTGCTTCTGCCAAGAGTGTCATCCGAGACAAGCACTTTAATTTGAGCAGGCACACATCAATCTTATTTTGAAGAAGAAGAAAAAAAAAGGTGTGCAAAGAGCACTGCGAACTAACAAGCGTGTTGAAGGTTTGGAGTGTGCAAAGGGCTTTCCAATAATGTCTCGTAATTCGACCTGACAACACTCTGGCAGGAGGCTTATTACAATGAGGCAGTGCCGTAGCACTCGAGGAACCAGGTCGGTGACCGCCTGGCTCCAGACACTGGGCTAGGGGAGGTTAAGAGACAGGAGCGCGCCAGGCTGGATGAGATCCAGACGAACCTCCAGGTTCCACACTCGACTCCCGCCCCCTCCCCCAAACCAAACCATTCTGGATGTTTCCTCTCTCCCTCTTTCGCACACAGCCAAGCAGATCCTCAAAAGGCGTCTTAACTGGAACCGAAGTCGCACGGATTCACGTGCGATCGTGCGAAGTCTCGGCTTGCAGCCTTGCGAGGAGCTCGGGGTGACTTCTAGGGCAGTGGCTGCAGAGAGGCCAGGCCAGGTGTTTGCAGCAGGTGCTCTCAGCCGTGTTTGCAGGAGGCCCTGGGCTTTGCAGCAGAGCCAAGCTTCCCGGCCTCTGCGCAGTGCGGCGTGCAGCAAGGCGGTGTATCTTCGAGGGAGCTTGGGGAGCCCATTCATATTTTTAAAGGGCTAGCGTCCTGCAGCCCTAAGCTGCTGCTCTGCAGGGTCGAGAGCGCACCTGCGCCGCGCACGGTCACGTGACCCAGCCCCACGCTTCTCCGCAGCTAGCCAGGCCCCGAGACAGCGGATGTAACGTCCCAGGACAAAGAGGATAGTTCCTGAAACCCGTCCTCCTGTGCAAGTGCAAATGCTGGCGCCCGGGCGCCCGCGGCTCACCGTTCGCCCTCCTGACCCTGCTTCGTTCCTAAGGGAGACCAGGTCTGCGCGCGGCCCGCGGTTCCCCAGCGCGCACCTGGCGGCCACGGGTGCGCGCCCCACCCTCCAGGTGAGCAGCGCCAGGCCCCGCCCTCGCCGCAAGGCTCCGCCTCCTACCCGCGCCTGCGCAGTACGTCCGGCGGCGCCGGGCGCCGGGGCGGCGCGGCCGTCGCAGTTCGGCGGGCGCAGTGCGCGTGCGCCGTGGCGGCCGGGGGGCGGGCGGCGGCCGCGGCGAGGAGCGGGGGTGGGGAGGCGCCGTCTGGCTCGGGCTGGGCCGGCGGGGAGCACGAGCGAGCCACGGCTGCCCCGTGGGCGGCCTCGGCGGCCGGCAGGTGAGACGCGCGTGGGGCCGGACGCAGGACTGAGGGAAGAGCGGGTGGGCCTCACGGCGCGCGGACCCAGGTGAGCGCAGCCCTCGGGCCCCGGGCGCATTGTCCGCGGGCGGCGCCCCTCAGCGCCCCCTGCCGGCCGGGCTCGGTGGGGCCGGGGCGCGGCGGGCTGGGGCCGGGGCGTGCGGCAGTTCCTTTGTTCGTCGCCCCCGCCCGGTCCCCGTCGCCCCCGCCAACATGGCGCTCGCGGGGTCCCTGCCCCAGCCCCGCGGCCGCTTCCCGCGCGCTTTGTTCCGCGCCGGGCGGGGGGCGGGGGCGGCGGCATTGCGTAACCGGGCGGGGGAGGGGCGTGGCGGGACCCCCGCGGCGGGTCACCCTGGTGACGCCCTGCCTGCGGGGGCTCGGGGCGCGGGCCTGCGTGACCTTGGGTTTGCCTCCCGGAATGCGCCGGGATGGAAGTGCGGTGTGGGTACTGCGCAGCGCTGGAGGTCGCGGTCCCTGGTGGCTTCCTGCACGGATGGTGCGTTCTGGGCCTTTCCGGGAGGAGGGGGTGTCGGGTTGAGAAATGGCTTCAGTCATCCACGTCGTTGCATGCGCATCACAAAGTTTGTTTACGCAATTGTTTTTATATCGATTTGGTTTTTATAATCTGTGAATTGGGTTTCGGGTTTTGTAAGGGTATTTCTGTTTGAAGTCTTACTCCTGGCTTAAAGGTTTATTTATCGTGTGCATCCAAAAGCCATACAAGGTACGTTTAAGAGTAAAGGATTTCAGTGTGACTAGTGTGGAAGATGGGCTCCGTACCGAAATCCGAATACCTCAGTAACTTTCCTTGGAATTTTCTGGAAGAAACTGCAGCCTGAAAGGATTGATGGAGAGTAATTGCCTTCTGCATAGCTTTTGTTAGGCAGTGAAAATGAAACCCGATCTTAGACGTTTTTACCTACACATCCTGAGCACACTTTCGAGGTGGTGAAATTTTGGAAAGAGAGAGGAGGCTCATCTTTAGCCTTCCTTTTCACCCCTTCAGCATTAGTTAATGGAAAAATAGGGGAAAAATTGGTGACTGATTTACAGGATGTTCATTATCAGGTAATTGTGTATTAACATTGCCTGATACGTTTATAAAAATGTGTAGTGTTCCTTACAATAATTAAAGTGGAATTAGCTTAAAATTCTACTAAAATGCATATGAAATGGATCAGGCAAAAGGGCTTTCAGTCTAAATTAATTTGTATGAAGTCTCTTGTACTCTAGATTGGACTTGAACTCAGTATCCTGTCTCAGCCTGGAGTACAAGCTCACTATCATGAAGGGCCATCTTTTTCTACTTAGAATTTTTGAAATATATGTTTATGAGTGCTTTGTCTGCATGTTTGTCTGTGTACTGCATGTATGCCTGGTGCCCAAGGAGTCCAGGAGAGGGCTCTGATCCCCTGAGACTGGAGTTAAGACAGTTGTGAGTGCCATGTGGGTGCTGGGAATCAAACCTGGGTACTTAGGAAGAGCAGCCAGTGAGTGCTCTTAACCGCTGAGCCCTGCTTAAGATTTTTTTTTTTTAAATAGGTGTCACTGATTTCTGATTTCTGGAACTTGTCTAGTTAATTTCACTTTTAGTGTTCAAGGGAAATGGACTCTAAACTTTCTGGGATAGCCAAGAGAATAGTGTGAGGTTGCTGTCCTGCATTCCACATCTAGTCTTTATACTTGGTCACCCCTAGATTACTTACAATACTATCACCCGGCCTAGCAACCACAGGAGTGTAACCCCAAGGGCTGGTAGCAGGGGTTGGAAATTCAAGGCCATCTTGGGTAATTTAATTAAGATCCTGTTTCAAGAAGTCAGAAGGAGGCTGGAGGTAGAGATCAGTGGTAGAGCAATTCCTCTGCACATGCTGGACTCCAGGTTCAGCCTCCGTTAAAACAAAGTGACTACCATGTAACTCTCCGCAAATAGTGCAGATTGTTTAGATTGCTTAGGGAATGAAGGCGTTTCTTTCCTGTTGTTGACCTGCCCCCCTCTCTGCATGTCCCCTCCCTGCATGCCTCCAGTCGGTGGATAGAGAGGAGGCTGACTGTTTAGATAGTGCCTTTAATTACCAGCTCCAAGCAAGAGGACAATACAGAATGTCAGTAACACTTGGGGAAATCTGTGTGCTTGAGGTGCCTGCCGCTCTCTGTCCTGCAGGATGAGATGCCCTGCCTGTCCTTTTCTCCTTGGGGTCACAATTTATATTTTAATTTTGGAAACTCTGAAAAGTACTGCTATAGTGGGCTTGGGACTTCCTTTTATGGGACACAAAAGGGCTGAAAAACAAAAGAAGAAGGGGATTGGTGGATTTAAAGTTACTTCCCTTGCAAAGTGGAAAACTGGTTAAGTCAATAGAGAAACAGCCAGTCCCACATCAGATCACTTCAGGACAGGGTTTACCAAGCATTAAAACTTAGGATACTTCATTGTCATGTGGATTGCAAAGGCCTGCTGGGGAAATTGGGTTGTTTTTTTCTGATTTTTCTGAAGGTCAGATAACAACTTAGTTTCAGTTTGGCTAACTTCAGTAGGAGTGACTCCATTTTGATTTGTAATCTGCTCTGCTGAAGCCTAATGCAAGATTGAGCTTCAAGACCATGGCATCTGTTTTTTTTTGTTTTTTGTTTTTTGTTTTTTTTTTTTTTGGACTGTCTTTATGCTGTATCTTAGGTAGTAGTGCCTCCCATTACTTGGGAATGGTGGTGTTAGGATTGATGTGATTTGTGTGTACCTCTTTGTTTTGGGGGTGGTCCAGAATTTCACCCTTACCATTTGATAAGAGTTAGTCTCTAGGGAAGAACTTTTTTTTTTTTTTATAGACTTTGACCTTTGGGGTGACTAAAACATTTACACCTGAACTAACTGCGTCATTAATTATTTGCAGCATTTTTTTCTAGTATGTTAGAAATACATGAAGGGAGCCAGGCATGGCACACACTTGTAATCTCAGCACTAAGAGATGGAAGAGGCAGGAGGATTAAATTTTCAGGCGACACAGACCTATTGTGGCGTATGTAGAGATTGGAAGTATGTCTTTATGCCCATTAGGAGACTCAGTTTGCTGAGGAACATTTAAATATAAATATTTTCAGCTAAATGTGTATTCTTTCCCTCTTTCTAAATGAGAAGCTGCAAGATGCTGTTTTTATCTAGCTGTTTTGTTCAGTTTGGAAGCCTGGTGTTGTGAAAAGCATTGTTCTGGAGTGTGGTGGCTGGAAGCCAGGACCTTTCCCTCTGGGTTGAACCCACCTCTGTAGTACTGGTCAAACACCTGGAGTGGAGACTTTAAAGCCTTCCGTTCTTGAGCTGCAGACTGGGAGGAAGCCTGTTGCAGTGTCGTTCCAGAAACACAGCTGGACAAGTCAGCGTTGGTCTTCCCCTTCCTTCCCAGCTTTGCCACAGTCACTAGTGCCTTGTCTTTATGATGAAGTAAACAGCTTGCTTCAAAGTATCTTAATATTGAGTCTAGTTTAAGTTAAGTCCTTATTGGGTGCCTAACTTAGAATAGTCCTAAGTCAAAGCTGGAGAGGTGGCTCAGCTGTTAGGAGTACTTGCTGCTCTTGCAGAGGACTCCTGTCTGGTATCCAGCACCCATGTGGCCCCTCAAAAATGTTTGTAGTTCCAGTTCCAGGGACTCCACTGCCCTCTTCTGGCCTCCATGGGCACTGTAGTACTGGTCAAACACCTGTAAGTATGTAAGTATGTAAGAGGTAAAACATGTAAGTATGTAGAGGTAAAACATCCATGAATATAAGATAGAAATCAATATAGTATTATTGTCTTTTTCATGAGTCTTGTAGGACTTAAGTACACGGTAAGAGGTGTGTCTTTACAATCTAATAGTTTTTAAAAATAATTTATTTTTATGTACGTTGGTGTTTTGATTACATGTTTGTCTGTGTGAGAGTGTCAGATCCCCTGGATTTGAGTTACAGAGTTGTGAGCTGCCATGTGGGTGCTGGGAATTGAACCCGGGTCCTTTGGAAGAGCAGCCCATGCTCTTAACCTCTGAGCCATCTCTCCAGCCCCCACTCTAATAGTTTATTGAGAAGGTACATATGCTTAGTGTGATGGCCTTACATGCTCACGAGTATCTGAGAAGAGAAAGATGTGCAACACTAGGACCAAGAGTATTTAAGTAGGAAAGAAAAGAAGTCCATGGTGGGTGGGGACAGAAAGAGCAGAGTTGACATTGATAGGAGTTAATAGTCCTCTGTGGGAGAAATTTATCCATCTAGTCAGGCTCTGAATTACAGCTAAAAGTTAGAAGAGGTTACCTTTTACTCTGAGGAGGCACAAGTACCTTATCAGGAATAGGCCAAGGGTCATTACAGTTCATTCCTTGTTTTTCTGTTTAACTACTGTCTGCAGTCAGCTGACAGCAACTGGCCACTCAGGCCATGGCCTGGTTGGGATTTCTTGTCCTGCCGGCACTGGCTCAGCAACTGCCACCAAATGTAGATTTTAACTAAGTCTCTATCATTCCATTTACCAGTAAAGACTTAGAAGTCAGATGTTGGGGTGAAAACCTGCTAGATCAGAGAAGCCGAGAAGCAACCAACAGACCTTCCTTTTTGGTCAGAGACCCAACAAAAGAAGCATCTCTCCACTGGTCCCAAAATAAAAGACAGTGAATCTCTAAGTCCCTCCCTTCTCCTTCCTGTGTGTTTATCTGTCTCTGTTCTTGGCTCCTCCCTCCTGTCTATGACTAATTCCTGTCAGCTAGTTGCTGGCTCCGCCCCCTGAGGTTAAATTTATTAACACAATCTCTGAGTTTCACAATGCCA